ATGCTACATGTACAATCACTGCCTGTTTGACTGGTTGTGCAAAAAGCAGACGACAGTGAGCCTAAGTTCCTGTGAAGCAGAACTCAATGCTCTGTCATTTTCACTCATGGATTGTGAATGGTTGATGCAACTGTTTCAGGACATCAGAGTTTCTGTGAAATGTCCTGTACAAGTGTATCAAGACAATAGATCGTGTTTGGCTTTGCTGAACTCGGAGAGTTGCAAGCAAAGGACCAAGTACTTGCAGATTAAGCTACATCGTGCAAGAGAGTGTATTCAGAAAGGACTCATTCAGGTGTCCTACTTGCCAGGAAATGAAATTCCTGCTGATCTGTTGTCTAAGGTTGTTAACAGAGAACAACTTAAGGTTTACGTACAAAGGCTGCAATTGGGTTGAACCACAGGTACTACAGGTTACACGGAAAGGGGGAGGATGTTAGGATATTTCCGTTCCACCTTAAAAGGGAGCAGGCTTTGTGAGTCAGAGTCTGTGTATTTCCTGTTCACAGGATGTTTATGTTTTCTGTTGCTTTCGTTTTCTCTCGTGTGTCGCAGACACTAAATCAGCAGGCAGTCATGTTTTTCTGTGTTCTGATCAACGCTGAATAAACTTGTAAATAATGCTCTCCTGAGTGCAACTTTTGGCTGTGCTAATTGCTGATAGAGTGTGCATGAGCTCTAGAATGTGGCAAGAGATTTTCTAGAAACTCATGTCGCTGTGTGCCTACGGGAGGTAGATGGATCGTCCGGCAGACGGCTTGGGGGCCTTGATGGACTTTATCTCCCTGGCAGTATCCCAACAGTAATGATGTATATGATTGGTGAAAATTGAAATGCTTTGTTTGAAATTTTACAAATACCACCGCCTGGACAGGGTTGCAGTTTTGCAGAATGATCCGACTGTAACCTATTGCTTCGCAATAAACAACGTTATATTCCTAACGCCTCACTTTTCTGAGTTTTATTGGCATAAACTCAGGAGATAAGCTACTTTCTGGCTTACAACAGATGAGCAAGGGAGAAAGCTGGAGGGCTAGGAGAAGGCCTAATTCAGAAAAGGGTCAGGAGGGAACACAGAAGTTGATGCAAATTGTTTCCCTGCAGAACCACCAGAGGCTGAGAGTGAGAGGCGGTCTTCAGCAGATGTGGAGCTTGGCTAAGTCTCACCCCTTCCCCTGATTTTTAACCATCTAATCCGATGAAGAGTTCTGGAAAAATAACAAGCTTTCTGTTTTCTGATATTTTGGATAGCCTGATCAATATATTGCCCTACTATGGATTTTGGGGGTTTACCTATGGACCAACCATGACTACCTTTCAAGGAAACCCTGTTGTTAACTCTATGAGCAAGGTGTGGTTGAATGCCCACAGTGCCAGGCACAAGAAAATGGCTGCCTTGGCATCACCAAGTGAAATTTGGATGGTATCATTCTAATAAACACGGGATTTTTCTCTTTGTTCAGCCCTCAGCATATGGAATGGCACAATATCGACAGAAAGAGCCTCCTGCAGGAAAACAGGCTTAAATTCTGTTTCCCTCATTTACATCTCCCTGCCTCTATGCTGGGGCTGTGGGAGGCCAAGGCTACTGGGCGTTGCCATAGTGACCAAGGAGGATTATGGCTTTGTTCTAGCAAGGGATGGAGGCCACTTTGAGACCTCATTGACAGGGGTAAAACAAAAAATTAATTTGAATGTATTTATGGAAGATAAAGAACCAACAATTAATTTCTCAGAAGAGAAGAACTTGAGCACAAGCTGTTCTCCAAATCATACCTTTGACCTAGAAGGCCACCCTCTCCCTTGTAATAATAATAATTTATACCCCGCCCATCTGACTGTGTTTTCCCAACCACTCTGGGCAGCTCCCAATCAAGTGTTAAAAACAATACAGCATTAAATATTAAAAACTTCCCTAAACAGGGCTGCCTTCAAATGTCTTTTAAAAATAAGATAGTTATTTCCTTATTTCTTGACATCTGCTGGGAGGACATTCCACAGGGCAGGCACCACTACTGAGAAGGCCCTCTGTCTGGTTCTCTGTAACTATGTATGGGCTGGTTGTAGGGTAAGAGGCCTGATAATTGGGATGAGGGTTGGGAATCCAGTCTGGGTGAAAGCTGTGGGGTGAATCAGGAGGAACAGTTAGGGAGGGGGATGATGCCACCAAGGCTGTACCCAACACCTGCTACCTAAGGTGGTTGCCTCACTCTCCCTAATGACAGGCAAATTTCCATCCATGAAGCAGAGAGGTCACTGTCTGTGTCTGATGAGGACAGGAAGGGTCGTCTGAAAGTTCCTGGGAAATGAATCAGTCTTCCAGCCAAGGACACATAGTGCTTCCTCGAGAGGCCTTGCTTGATGGGCCTGCAGTTGCATGAGAAGCAAATTGGCTTTGTAGAAGCCAGAGCAGGAGAGTAACTGGACTTCCCATGAGTTTGCCATGGCAATCAATCTGCTTGTTTTCTCTCACTGCTCCCGGAGTCCCTTTGTCTGCCTCTCCAGATTCCAGGCATGGCTCTGATTATGGTAGCACAGATGGTCCGCACTAACCCCGAGGCATCTCTCACAATCCTGTTAACTATATAGGCATGTGTAAGACCTTGTCTGTCCCTGAGGGGGAAAAGCGAAATGGAATGCCTGGAATTGCCAGCTCCAGATTTTAAGGCTCTTTGCCCTCCTCCCTCCTGGTTTCGCTTTCATTTCGCTTTCCTGATGCTGTAATTGCAATTAAGGTAAACTCTGGTTGCTCAGTGGAAATGAACCACTTTGCAAGACAGCTCCCATGTAACTTAATTAAAATAAATCTTGAGCAACCTGAGCTGCTGGATGAAAAGAAAGCCCCATGGGAGGCTAGAGCTCTTTTGCAAATTTTGCTGAACCTGAATTGCTAGAAGTTCAGAAGGAAGGCTCTGTTTGAAAGAGACCTCGCAAGATCTTAATATTTGGAATGTGAACTGAATGAATGCAAATACAAAACTACCAAGCCAGGAATTCTTTGTTTTACTTTCAAGACGTAGCAAAGCAGCGGTGCCAAAGTCAGGAGAATGAGCTTGAATCTCCCTCTGGGGGACGTCTAAAAGTTGGCAGCAGGCATGTTCATTGTGGCCTTCATCCCCATCTGTTATTTGTGTACTCCCCCTTGTACCTGAGGTTTCAATTCTCTGCACATTTACCTAGGAGTAAGTTCCACTGAATTACTGAACAAAAATGCATTGGAGCTGCCTGGATTTTTTAAAAAATTGTATGATATATGGGAAGCAAAAGCTAACGATGGAGGACAAGTCTCTGTTTTCCCAATCCAGTTGTTAACCAAGTTGGCAACATCACCCTTTGATTGGAGCCTCACTCTATCCTCTGCCATGGATCCTTCCTTCCTTCCCTCCCCAGAGACTGTCTTTCATCTCAGGGACAGGCAGAGTGATAGTCCTGTGAATGAGCAGCAGAGGCAGGATTGCCAATTCTCCCAGAGTATAATGTGCAATTAGAGCATCAAGGCTGTGACCCTGTCAGGGAGGGAAGGTGGATTTACAGTCCTAAAGAGAAAGGGAGCAGGCCCAACACGGTGCGATGGTTCTCACCAGAGCATGGGTCACCCACTCTGTGCAAATTAAAGGAGACCCTGAAGATCACGATCACCCTGGCAAACTGGATTTATGGTGGCAAATGTAAAAATTCTGTAATAGGGGAAAGGGTTGAAGGAGCAGGTGGTAAATCACGCAAACATACTGGAATGGAGGTCCCTGCATGCCAAGGCCTGGAACATCAATGGCAATGAACAAATGAAGAAAACATTCCAGAAAGTAGACCGAGAATCATTTGAGGGACAGAAGGGGCGACACCTTTTGAGTTTAAACATGGTTTAAAGGATCAAAGTTGGGGGAAAAGAGGAGAATGCTGAGCAATCTAATGTAGAATGCATGTGGCCGGGGAAGAGAAGGAGGCTTGAAGAAGAAGGAACAGTCTCTTTCCATGCTGATTTTTCTCCTTAAGTCACGGTTTGATATCCTGCACTGTTGATATTATCATACGCCTTTAGTACATTCCATGGCCTCCTATTTCTTGATGGTGGTTATGGGACTTTGAGGATCTATCACTTGCCTGAGCCCTGCCTCCAGTAGCTGTCTGATAAAACACTACCATTATAATGTCTGTTGGTACCACACAGAGTAGTGCTGGAGGAGACTCTTGAGAGTCCCATGGACTGCAAGAAGATCAAACCTCTCCATTCTTAAGGAAATCAGCCCTGAGTGCTCACTGGAAGGACAGATCCTGATGCTGAGGCTCCAATACTTTAGCCACCTCATGAGAAGAGAAGACTCCCTGGAAAAGACCCTGATGTTGGGAAAGATGGAGGTCACAAGGAGAAGGGGATGACAGAGGACAAGATGGTTGGACAGTGTTCTCGAAGCTACCAGCATGAGTTTGACCAAACTGCAGGAGGCAGTGGAAGACAGAAGTGCCTGGTGTGCTCTGGTCCATGGGGGGTGTGTGTGTGTCACAAAGAGTCGGACACGACTAAACGACTAAACAACAACACCACACAGAGAGAAACACAGAGCAATTGTAGTGATGCCTGGAGCAACTTGCTGGGTCAAGCACTGCAGGCTTTTGAACCCCAAGTTCCTTGGACCTGATGGCTGTCTGGAACCCTTGGTGCTGTAGGCCATCAGGGCAGGACTTTGGAGCAGGACTTACCCAGCACTAAAGGCAAGAAGGCAGGCTTATGATATTTTGAAGTAAGCGATGTAATACTCGTTGCTCTCTAAAGCAGTGTTCTTCAGCCTTGGACCTCCAGATGTTGAACTGCAACTCTCATCATCCCTGACCATTGGCTACACAGGCAGGGGAGGATTGTTGTTGTAGTCCAATAACTTTTGGGACCCCAATATTGGAGAACACTGATCTAAAGGGCCCTCACATAAAACCACGAGGTCAAGAGTCTAAAACTATGTGTTGTAGGAGCCTAAGGTAGGATGTGGCAACTGAGTGACCAAAGGGGCATAGCTCAATGTTAGAGCATCTGCTTTGAATGCAGAAGGTCCCAGGTTCAGTCCTTGGCATCTCCAGGCAGGGCTGGGAGGGACCCTTGCCTGAAATCCTAGAGAGCTGCTGCCAGTCAGTGTAGACAATGCTGAGTTAGATGGACCACTGGTCTGACTCAGTATAAGGCAGTTTCCTATAATTAAGCAATTTGCAGAAGGGTAGCTGTGTTGTTCTGCTGCAGAAAAACAGTGAAGAGTCTGGTGGTACCTTAAAGACTAACAAATGGATTACAGCAGAAGCCTAGGTAGACTTTATCAGATGATCTGATAATTAAGCCTCGTTCATATAAATGACTGAGGAAGAGAAAATCTATGCTATATATATGTTGTATTTTATTGATTCAATAACTTATCTCCCATCTTGAGGGTTTCTGACAAAAATAATAATATACAAATGAGGATAAATAACCAGTAAAAATAATTGAGAAGCTGAAAGTTGATTACCATTGGCTGGAAGCCTTGAGCTATCTCTGTAGCCCTCTTCAAGGTGTTCCCATTTACACTGAGGGCCAGACTCTTGAAACAAGAGCAGGACCATGTCTGCTGGCTCTATGGCAAATGTCAGACCACCCCCAGCTGTACCACCTTCATGTCTGCACACTAAAGTGGACCTCTGCAAAGAAAAAGCCTTTCCATGTGCAAAGTCTTCCACACAAAGACTTCCTCATTCTTTTGCAGACATCCATGTCACGTTGCAGCTGTCCAGATGGCAGGGATGAGAGACATGCAACATCGGAGGTGGGGCCAGGATACACAGCCTCATGTCTTCCATGAATGGATTACAATGTTCAAAGGGGGTCTTTGGTGGTCTTGCTTCAGATGAATGCCTTATCTTTACCATGTTGCTGCTATTGTCACCTGCCGAAGTGCTCTCGTGGAAAATGTTTTGTGGTGACATTCTCTTGGAAGGATATTTATTTAATCTGGTGAGTCTGGATTTCTTTTCTTGAGTGGAGAGGGGGAAAGGTTCTTAGCACCCAGAATTCCCCTTCCATCCAGCAGAGGGAGGCAGTGTTACACTCCTGCTCTGCCACTCAAAGTGATTGGCAGTTTCCTCTTGGAACTGCAACATCTGCACATTTGGAAGAGGAGGGGGGGTTGCTTTAGTTCATGGCTCCTGGTGCAAAGGTAATTTTCAATGAGGCCACAGCCTTGTAGGTACATGCCGTGGTCGTGCCACATGTGCTATTTCCGCTCTGCAAATATTTGCTCTTAGCAATCACTGTTGCTTACAGACACCAAGCACCTTCCCTTCTCTCCAAGTCACAACAGATGAAGACCTTGCCAAGGAAATGAAATAAATGATTTACAATGGCCTTATATATTAAATCTCAGAGTCAATATTGCTGGTGACTCTCACTTTTTATGAGATCAAAGCAAATGCAGAGAGGGCTGAGTAAAGCTAGTAGCAGAGGCCTTGATACAATAAGCACCACGTGGTTGCAACCACGGCTTCCTGCTGTGGGAAGTGCAAAGAAGCAAGGAGGTGAGGCCTGTATCCAGGGAGGAGGGCAGAGATGGATGTGGCTGTATCTCCTAGGACAGGGTGGCACTTTTGGTACAGTACACACCTGGGTCTGTGCCACTGCGTGGTGAAGAATTGATCAAAGGGCAGAGGCTGCCTGAATCAGGGTCATGATGTTGGAGCTGACAATTTAAACTCACCAATGAACCGTTTATCAACCACCCTTCCAATTGCACATCTTCTACTCTCATTTATGCTCACAATCATTCAAAACTAAGACATTTAGGATCTGCCTAAACTGAAGGCCTTCAAAGCCCTAAACAAGAGTAATTCTTTCAGTTTCTGCAACTTTCTGTGTAACTCTAATATGCATCTTCTGAATGTAACTCAGAACCTTTAATTAAGCAGAAGCCTCACTAGACAGGCGGGCCTTGATCCTGTGCACTTTGAGATAACAGTGGAAAAATGATTAAACCAAAATTGAGAGATTCGTTCATCCCCATTTCCAGGCCAGGAGATTCAGCAGATGGAACACATGAGATCTAAAGGGAAAGTTGCCCCATCCTAATAATGTCAATGTATTTTATTTCATTTTAAATAAGTTGTAAATAACCTCCATAACTTTGAAGAACAGGTATGATATGCTAGACAACTCAACAAGCAAGCAAAGCTCTATTTTGGATAAAGCTCTTTCTGACTAGGTTTTAAAGAAGGATCGCTTACTCAAATTCTGGGTGGGTAGTGGTTGTGGCACAGCTCCCCTGGGGCACAGAAAAAAACATTTTATCCCCCATAGCCAGCCGTTGGGGTTCTCCTTGGCCAGCCATGGGGGGTGGCATGATTACTTGCCAAAAATTGGAATCTAAAATAGCCAGTGATGGCCCTTGTGGGGGTGGGGCCAGGGTGGCGGACCAGAGTGAACAAGACTTCACTTTGGTCCACTGCTGGAGTATTGAAGCCAACCGTGCCTGGAGTCACCTGGAGTCATGGGCACAGTTGGCGGAAGACCTTGCTGTGGTTCAAAATGGTCGCCATGTTCAGGGCTGCAAAAGAATTTGCCTGCAAACAAATTGGGCCCATTTGCGGGTTTTGCCTTCCTCAGAGTAATCATCATAACTAAGGCATTGGGTAGAATCCTTAGTCCAATTCCGGGTGTCAGGTGATTTGGTGCATCGCCCTGACCTCATGCAGGTGTGATATCTCAGAGTACCCCAGTAAAGGGGTCTGGGTGGAAGTTTATGTCCTGAAGCCAAGTGGAGGGCAGATGGACCATAGAACTTTCAATAGTGGTCTGGGAAAGGCCAGCTTAGTGGACCTGTATCTTGAGGTGATCCAGAACCCTGTTCAAATTTTAGCCTTCATCCAGAAGGAAGTCATACCTCATGTTATATTTGCTTCATGTTATGTTCTTTCAGGTTATGTCCTGCGGTGACCCGGAAGTACTGGAAAAGGTTACTTCCGGGTTTCGCCGCTCGCGCATGCACAGAAGCACTAAATTGTGCTTCGCGCATGCGCACAAGCGCCATATCTGCTCAGGTGCGCAGCGCGATTTGGCACTTGTGCGCATGCACGAAGCACGGTTTAGCGCTTCTGTGCATGCGCGCTGCGCACCTGCGCAGATATGGCGCTTCAGGTTGTGCTCTTTTCATGTTGCAACCAGGCCTCCGGAATGCATCCCGTTTGCTACCAGAGGTACCACTCTACAGGATACATGCCCAATGCCTGAGCCAAAACCTACCTACACCTGTAATCAATAAGGTAAAGGTAAAGGGACCCCTGACCATTAGGTCCAGTCGTGACTGACTCTGGGGTTGCGGCGCTCATCTCGCTTTATTGGCCAAGGGAGCCGGCGTACAGCTTCCGGGTCATGTGGCTAGCATGACTAAGCCGCTTCTGGCGAACCAGAGCAGCGCACGGAAACACCGTTTACCTTCCTGCTGGAGTGGTACCTATTTATCTACTTGCACTTTGATGTGCTTTCAAACTGCTAGGTTGGCAGGAGCAGGGATTGAGCAATGGGAGCTCACCCTGTCGCGGGGATTCGAACTGCCGACCTTCTGATTGGCAAGTCCTAGGCTCTGTGGTTTAACACACAGCGCCACCCACATCCCCTGCAATCAATAAAGCTGTGGCCAATTTTTCCTTCCCATTTTTTGTGTCAATTTGTTCAACCTGTCAACACCTCAATCTTCTGTCCATGGGGAGAATGCTGTGTATGGGCCCACAATGTAAGAAGAGCCTGCTGGATCAGGCCAATGGTCCATCGGGTGCAGCATCGTGTCCTCACACTGGCCAACAAGATGTCAATGAGATACTTGCATTTTGGCACTTGGTAATGGACAACAGGGTCCCAGTTAATAGACTTTGATTACTGGTGGCTACTACAGCCCATTGGAATTTATGTAACTCCCCAACCAACCTTGTTGTGGGCTGAAGGCAACAGCTCTGAATCTCGTTAGGGAAAAGAAGCATTATGCGTTTTGGAACTGGCCGACAAGGGACTACAGGGGTGTGGTTTTGCTTCTTGGGGATGATGCATTGAAGACCACTGCCACCTATTAAGCAGGTGCCTCCCTAATTCCCCCAGGCATACCTGTGTTTTTGTAAATAGTTTACTTCAAAATACATTGTACAAACCTAGGGCTCTCTTCTCATAAGGAGAATGAACATCTAAAAAGGCTTTTTCTTCTGCTTGGGACAAAACAACCCATTAGGTCCACACAAATGAAGCCTGGTTAGTCTTGCCAAAGCTTGAGGATTATTGGTCTCTAGAGATGCAGAGGTGGACTTTCTGTTGCTGTTTTTTTTTTTTTTTAATAGTGGCACCAGTGTTTGGGAATGCACTCCCTGCTGAAATATGAGAGACCCCATTTGTATAGGCATTCCACTGACTTCTGAAGGCACACCTGTTACACAGACAATCCCTTGACCCCTTGACCTGAGCCTCCTCATGTAATGGCTGTTTTGCTTTAAATGGGATTTGCTTTATTGCATATTTTAATCATGGATGTTTATATTTCAGTGTTTTAATAGGATTATTTTATTGACTATTTTAATTACAGGTGTTTCTAATTTAATGTTTGTGATGCTGGTTTTTAGACTTTGTAAATGGATTAGAAGCCAGTTTGGCATTAGGTGGTATATAAAATAAAAAATAAGAATAAGAATAGTGTGACATTTGGGTGAGATGCACAGGCAACTATATTCTTTAAAGGCCACACATTTCACCTTATTACACAAGTACAAAATTTATTTTTATTCCATTTTGTGTGATTCTGGAAAATGTAAGGGCTTTTTTTTAATGATGAAAGGAAACTAATTAATTGAAGGAGTGACACATTTCTTACTAATGATATATAATTGCTCTCCTGCTGAGTTTCTCCATTGGGGATGCAACCCTGTGAAACTATGACTTTGCGGAAGTGAGCGAGAGAATTAAGCAGACAAAAAGAAATGGGGGGGCAGTGGTGGTGCTCCTTAGTGGGTCCCTTTCCAAGGAACTAAGCCCCTTGACTCTATTGCTTTCTCTACACTTGGTCAGTCTCTGGTGCAAAGATCA